TTCCATCAACCAAAACTTTGTTTTGTTTTCATAATTTTACTTTTGAAAGTTTAGTTTTTAGTTAGTTAACTTTGTGTTTCAACTGAATTTTATATAGCATTCTCTTTAGTAGTTCAAACTTCGCACTTTACTTTTATTTTTGTATTTTTAAATTATAAAATAATTTTTCAGAATTTACTTATAGGTTTTTCCAACTTCCCTGTGGGATCGATATCTAGAACTCCATTATAGCCCTTTATTTCTTGAGCGATATGTATAATGGCGTTGATTTTAAAGGGGATTTGACAATTTAAAAAGTGTTTTAAAGATAAACTAATTTCATAAAAGGTATTTATGTTGTGATTATATTGCATATTTATTATTATATCTGTCGTGTGTATTTCGTAATATTAAAAAATATTAGCAAAATTTGCACACTAAATCTACCTGCATCTGTATGTGGGGTTATCTCTAGAGAATCATATTCTTAATTCAATGAATATTATAGTAAACTTATGTAATTTTTTTCAATAAGTAAGGGTAAATTTAATGTTAAGGCAATTGGTATAAATTATAGGAATATGCTTATATTATTCAAAGTAGGAAAATTTGTGTTTTTGAAACACTAAGGATCTTAGATTTACGCTTCAAAAAGAATTAGAGACTCTATGGAAAAAAAATTTTATACTAATATACAATATCAAGTAAATAAATATGGGTAGTTTTTAAGTTTAAAAAGAGAATAGTGAAGTTCAAAATCATTAAAGACTATCCAGATATAGTAATCCTCACATTAAAAGAAAAGAAAAGAAAAGAAAAGATTTAAAATGATCCTTAAAGAAAAGGAAAAGCTAAATCAAAGAAAAAGAAAAGTTAAAAGAAAATATGTGAGAAGAAACTTGAGGAAATGCCAAATTAAAAATTGGCTTCACTTGAATTATCTTAAAGGAAGAAACTTATTTATATTTCAAAGTTTATTCTTGGTTTTAAATGTATTAGTCAAATCATTACTAGTGAAGTTCTCATATAAGTCTATCTTGTATTTTTTTCTAAGACTCCTAGGTCTGAAAAATTACAATTATTTTTTAAATGAATAGAAAAACAAAATTCTTGACTTAAGTACTAAATACTCTTATACCCCCGCTTCTATCTCGAGTTATTAAAAATTATTCTAAAGTTTCACCATCACATTCATGGGACAAAAGTATAAGAATCTTTAATGAAATTCAATACTATAAGTTAAAGCATTTATTTTACAAAATAGATGGGTTACTTGAGGAACATTTAAGTTTGGTCGAATTGGCACACCTTAAAATATGTTATTTTTATATATACATCTTATGCTCATTTTTAATGATGTTGCACTTTAATGGAAGATATTTGTGTTTTTTCTTTATTTCAAGTACATGAGATGGAGTTTAGGAGACATAGAACCAAAAACGGAGCAAAATAAGATTAAATTGAGCAAAGGAGCAAAATGTGAACTGGCTCCGAGGAGCCAGGTAGTTAAAATGGCACACCTTGGTGCCACGGTTCCCTGCCTAGACACCAGAAACAACTTTGATTTTTGTGCAATGAATTTGGAGGAATTTTGAAGAGGTTCTTAAAGTGGATCTTGGTGATTCTAAAGGCTTTATTTAAAGGGAGAATTGACTAATCAAAGAGGGAGAGAGTAGTAGTGTGCGTAAGAGTGTGTGTGAGAGAGTGTGTTGGTGAGAGTCTTTCTAGTATATGTTTTGGTGTATCTATTAGAGTAAGAAGCCATCAAAGGAGCTTAAAATAATTAGCTTGGGGATAAGTTTAGGATAAGTACATTGTACTTTTGTTTGAGTTTTATTTTACTATGTAAACTTGGATTTTAATATAAATCATGTTTTGTTGTGTTATCCCATGAAGTCTGTGTAGTTTACTTTATCATTCTCCTTGTATTAAAAATTAATCAAGTGTAGGATTAGAAGTGTTTAAGATTTCTCTTATTACATACTTGTGATGATTCATTACTTCATACTTAATTTACATCTTCAATCTGGTCAATTGGAATGTTAAATAAAATTAATTGTCAATCCATAATGACTCGGGAGGGCTATGTGTTCCTCAACTAGTAAGAATCACATTCATCTAGTGGGTGAGAAGGTAGCCCATTGATTAATGCAAATAGATAGGGAGATAAGTTTTGATGGGTCTAAATTGGTGATTCTAGGTTGACAAGCTAGAATCTTAACAAATTTTATCTAGAGTTTAGAACTTAAGGTTAGGTTTTTCCAAAATAATGGTTGCAGTGGGTAATCTGAAAGTGATAGGCTAGAACCTACCCAACATAACCAAAGATTTAATAACTTAACTTTAGGTTAACCAATATTCTTTATGCACTCGTAAGAGGGTAAAAAATAGGATTGCTCCTATTTAGCACAAAACTACATTTAAACATTTAGACATTTTATTCCTACACAAATTATGATATCTTCGCAAGGGGAAATAAATTTTACATAATTTGAACTTTTCTACGTATAGCTAGTTTATAAATACTGCATTTTCTTTAAACTTTGAAGTAGAATTACGAAAAATTTTGTAACTTCTTTTTAAACATAAACATGCTACCATATTTTATAGATAATTGTCTGGAGTTAAAGTAAAGTCTTATTAAGTCCATAAAAAGAGCTTTACCATCCCTATGAGATTGATACTGAAGTTTTGAAAGAAAATCCTTTATTACTTAAACCGATAAGTATACTCACGCAACAACCCTGTGTGTAAATTATTAATCAAATTCTAAATTCTATAACATATTCATTGTTCACACTAGCTGCTAAAATAAATTGGATCAAGTTTTGGCCCTCTTTTTGGAAACTAAGTTACTTTGTAATTGAGGGTCGGTTCACTTGTCTCTCGGAAATCACCAAAAATATTTTCCTTCTGTCTACTGTCATTATTGATCGACAGGTGACTATCACAGGTTGGTTGAGGGTTTTCCACTAAAAAATCATTAACCAGAGCAGCTTCAATGCTTGACGAGCGAAGGTTGTCAGAGCACCTTCCTCATGCAATATAACAAGAGTAAAACCTTGTACTCACCACACTGGTTATGATTCAACCACCAACATTATCGTAGTATCCAATTGCCCCAAAGAACTTTCGGCCCTAGGATCTATAGTGATGACTGGTGGAGCTTGCTCATCACCCATCGGGATAGCTTGTCCGTAACCCCTTGGGATCTTCTCTTGCTCGTGATCACCAGGATCCTTTGATGATGCCACTTGGTCATTAAGGATCTCTCTTCCTTTTCATAGCATATTTCTTTTGTAACCTCCCACTTGTAGGATGAGGTAGACTGCTCATCGTTCTAATAAAAAAGAGTACATTCTTATTAAAGTGACTGTGTGCTTTGACACGAGACACGGTGTCGTTTGAAGTAATGAAAAATGGAGTAAAGAAAAAAGCCACACTAATCCTAATTAAAGAAAACAAGGGGAAAAAAATCTAGTAAGTATTAATTATTAAATGGTTAAGATTATGGATGATATTTTTTTGTCACAAAGAATCCCTTGTTCTTATCACAACACAACATTTAAGGAGAAAGAAAATTGGGAACCAATATGTATACAAGAAAATTTTCAACACAAATCTCAAAATAATCACAAGGCTTGCAAGTGAAAAGCTCAAATTCAATGATATGACAAAAAACTTCACGTGCTCAATAAGCTGATGGGCTTAAGATGATCTTCTAACCAAAGGACGATCTATCTACTACATTTCCACCGAGCTATAGAAGAATTGATCAAACCAAAGTCCTCAACGCCAATCAACTTTGAGTCCACCAACTACCACTTTGAAAAGTCTCAATTCCACGAGTAAGAGGTGAACGGTGCTCCGAAGTAATAAGCTAACCTGAATCAGTTATACTGATCGGTTCGAAGGCATAATAACAATCAGAAGATTTATGCTCATGGAAAGTTGTAGATAGGGAGTCAACATTAGTTATAGATTTGAAAATACGTGAGTATCAATTATAATTACGAAAACTAATCAAAGAGAGTAAAAACTGATCTATCATGACTAAATTAAAATAAAGGAAAATAATGACTTGTAACGACCCATTAACATGGTGGTAAAATGTAAATTTATCAAGGTTCTCCAATTTTTATAAATAGAAAAATTTCATGATTAAAAAGACTGATCGTTTTTCAGACAATGGTTCATCTTGCACTCTACTATTCTCTCGGTCTCTCCCTTCTTTTCTTTTTTCCTCACACTTATCCCTCGAGGCATGTTGTAGGGATTGAATACTTATATTCATGCATTAAAGATAATTATACTCTAGATGTTATTTGTGTTCTAATAAAAGTAGAATTGACAATGTATTTTCCTATTTTAGTTGAATTACATCAGGGATCGACTTTAAGCTAATTTTTTGTTTTAGTTATGGATGCTCTTACTAGACATTTACATAATGATGTACCTTGTTGTATGCATTTCATTGATGATATCTTTCTTCTGGACAAGGCGAGAGAGATCAAGAAAACATTGAATTATGGTGGTCTACTTTAGAGTCTAAAAGCGTAAATTTGAGTAGTCCAAAACTCAATATAAAGCTTGACAACACAAATTGTTAGCCTATAAAAGAGAAGCAAAAGCTAAGTGTTGAGAGATGAGAATGCTTAGGAGGATGAGTGGTTTGACACTTAGAGACAAAATTCAAAATGGTCTGTGAAATAGTTGTTGTAGCTCCAATGACAGAAGAGATTAGAGAGAGTCATCTTAAATGCTTTGGATCATAGGATTAGAAGAATAGATGTTTTAGATTAGACTCATATTGAGAAAGATATAGGTAGACCTAAAAAGACTTGGGCTTGTATAAAAAATGAACATAATATACTAGAATAAATTGAAAATATGACACTCAATAGGTCTAAATGGAAAAATAGCCCACCCCACTTAGTGGGATAAAGGCTTATTGTTGTTGTTGCTGTAACTCCTTTTAAGATAATATCAAATTAAATTTAATGAATCCAATTAAACCTGAATTACCAAAACATCACCAACACTTTCAAATAAAAGATGGATGCAGCATCAAATATACGAGATAGAAATGATGCCTGGCCTTTTTGTCAAAACTCAACTTTGAACCCAGGATGCATCAAATTAAAGATTCCAAAATAAAATAAAATATAATAAGATCACTGGAAAAGTTCTCCGGCAAACTCAAAGCAGCATGTCAGACTTGGCCGGCAATCTCCTGTAGAAATTATACGGCACGGATGGCATCTTGCTCCGGAACCTGGGGTGGCGAAGAAGGTATAGCCCGATTATTACTGCGACAACCTGAATAGGAGTAATGTACAAGATGACGGCGATCACCAAAGACAGCATTATGAAGATAGCAGTGGCGCGAGGGTCTCTCCAGCTGAGAATGGCTTGTGCCCGCTCCCCCTGAGTAGCCAGGTCACCCACCACCGTCTGCACCCGCCCAGCCACGCTCCGCAGTCGGTCATATCTCATCCTCACAATGTCCGTTGGCTTTGTCGTCGGAAATGAGTCAAATTCCTCATCAAGCTCATCTGGATGTGCTCGCTCGGCGTAGGACAGCATCGTGTCCATGTGTGGCGGATGCCGAGGCCTAATACGATAGTTCCAGATCCCAATCATGAACAAGTAGAGGAAGATAGTGGGTAAAATTAGCTCAGGATAGCAGACGAGGATCAAGAAGAGTATGTGGACGAGAATGGTCGTGACAGGGTTGCGCCAGTTGCGAATGCTTTCAAACCAACGTACAACCGCGCCAACGCCGGAGAGGAGAGAGGTGATGCGGTAAAAATTGGCTTTGCTTCTGCGAAGGCTCCACATGTGAGAGTCCACGTCTAGCATATATTCCACGACCTCACGCCGTAGAGGCGGCTCCGCCCGGCCTAGCCGTGCAGCTACAATCTGCATTGCCTGATGCCGCAAGATGTCTAATTGAATGACAGGGATTGGCTCCACATAATGCATTTTAGGTAAAAGCGGCTTCCCGTAGAGCGCCACCATATTAACCCATGCCGTGCAGGTAAAACGAACGGTGAGGTGGAGGTCGCCGGTCTTCTTCAGTCCAGAGGTTTGCAAAGCCAGCAAAGGATAGTAGTGCGAGTACACTCGATCAGCCTCCAGCGTTGACAGCCGGATTCGGACTTTGCCGATTCTCTGATCCTTGGCATCCTCCTTGTTGCCAGAGATATGACAATTGTCAAAGACAGCGATGGTGATTACCGTACAGGGATCAAATACTTCCCAAGTGTACTGCTCATGCCATCTTGGATTGAGCGTGTCGAGTAGTGTTCTTGTACGCACCCACTTTGGCCCATATTTTGCCACACAGTAGGCATCCGTAGTGCGGCCCTCCTTGGCTTTCATTGGCATCAGATTACGGGCATCTAGAATGCCCAGCTCCAGAATCCCGATGCTTGGTTTCCTTAGATGCCTCGCGGTGGGCCGGAGGTCACTGCTGTAATGGGTAGATTCATCGAGCACATGGTAGCCGATATCCAGAAAGATTCTTAAGTGTATCTTGCTGCTAAATTTGGATTCCTTCTTTTCCGTCTCCCCGCCGCTGCTGCTGGGCTTAGCAAGGTTGAACCACTGAGCTTCCATGGGTTTGTTGTGGTCGGTGCGCTGCAATGCGGCGAGGACGGGGAATATGAACCGGCCAAGGGGCTCCATCTTGTTTGCATCAACACGATCGTCGACCGTAATGACGAGGGGTTCGTCGAAGGGCTCGGAAGCTACGAGCATAAACTCTTCGTTCCATACTGGATTGACGGACCGTGTGGTGGGTGATGGTCGGGTTGTGCGGAGCTGTTGGCCAAGTTGAAGGCGGACGACAGGGTCCGGGAGGCGGGTGCGATTTGAAGGCACCAGATCCTGTGCTTCAATCACAAGGACGCGGAGGTAGCAGAGTTTAGGTGAGTAGTAGACTTTAGAGCGTGTGTGAGCGAGGACTTGTGCCCCAACGGAGTGGGCGTCAGAGTGCCACGCCTCTGGGAAGGCCTCGTCGGCTTGTGTTCCCATCCAAACTGCGAGCATGATCTCACCCTTCCTAAGCTTTTCCCCCTTCTTGTCCTCGAGACGGTACCACTGGGGAGCCAGGGGACTATCAGGAGGGACACGATGTGGTACTTCGCTAAGATCGAGTAGGAGACGGCCGACGAAGTCATCCTTCACAACATCCTTGTCCTTTACAGTGATCTCAAGCTGGCTGGCCTGAAGGCGCTCCCGCGAAAAAGCGAAGGTCTGATTAAAGACGGGGTTTTGGTTCTTTTCCAAGTGCTTGGTGATGCCCCTGTAGTTCCCCAGTTTCACTTCAACGTAGGGATCAAGACTGCCGGTGATGTCCATGGGTGGAAGATCGCGGGCTTTGACAACGTTGACGTAGAGGAACTCCATCGGGAGGACGAGATCGTAGGTGGAGGAAATCTTGTCGCGACCTCGGTAGCCAAGGCGGCCAGCAATAGGGGGTCGGGTCTCGACAAGACCGTATTCGGATTGGGGACGGGGAGGTCCAGCTTGGATTTGCATCGCAGCTGAGGCGGGGAGGCGCGGTGCGAACCCCCCCCGCCGGCGGGGCAGGCTGTGAGGGGCGATTTTCCTGTGCCGCCGCAGCAACGGAAAGGAAGACCCGTGGCTCCCTGTTTTCAGGAGGCAGCTGCGAAAAAGTGCTTGAATTGTTCTTTCTCGTATTTTGAGGAGGAGGGGATGGATCAGGGTGCAGGATGGAGGCAGCTTCGGCGGCAACGGGAGAAGGCGAAACAGATTCTTGGAAAGCGTAGAGTCGGAGTGCGATGTCACCGCGAATGTTGGAGAAAAAGCCTCGCTTGTCCAGCGGGAAGCGGAGGATCTGGGCTTCAGACGGCGATGGGGCTACGGATACTCCGGATATACGAACACGACCAAGGCTTCGTGGATGGCCACCTGCGGCTGTGTGATCGGATGAAGTAGAGTAGGAGGACTGGGCGCGATCGTGGTAGACGGAAACATCGATGGTGAGGTTAGGGAGGATGGAGGGGTCGGAGAGTTGGAAGACGAGGGTCTCGTTCCAATTTGGATTCAGGTCCTTGAACTTGGTCTGTGTTCGATGCTTCTGGCCGTCGATCTCCACAACAACGAAGGGGTTAGCTGAGCCGAACCCGTCTTTGGGCATCAAGTCGTTAGCGTCCACAACCTCCACCGCCACTTTCATCTTTTCGGCCGCTTGCAGTCGCTTGTTGCCCGCCTTCGTTGCCTGTAAAAGGGTTCAATGGAGAATTTTGCCCTTAGCCCGTCGGCCTTAATGTCAGATGCACAGACAGAGGCGGCGTTTGGGGAAATGCGGAATGCAGGATAGATTTGCTGATTGTGCGGTGTTATGGTGATTAATTGGGGTAGGACCTCTAACTTGCTTTCTTTTGTAAATGGTAATACTTCCACATAGCGGAAGATATTATTTTTTTAGTTCGAAGTTTTAATTGAAACATTTCCAACATCTTCGAAATGATTAAAACCTTTAGGTAATGACCATATCTGTGTGTGTGTGTATTCAAAATGTGGAAAAATTTGTTCTAGAAAAAAAATTTATATGCAACTATTTCCACCAATGTGCTTTCAAGCACATTATTTTCTTTGCTTGCATCATATCATAACATCCACAAGCATATTTGGTTGAACAGTGAAATTGCATGGTGGATGTTAAGAGTGGAATGACTTCAAGTTTCTTAAATGATTTGAAAGAGTTGTATTTGTATATCACTAATGTGCCTACATGAATTTGAGATAAAATAATTGGAGATATAAAGAACATAGATTCTTCATAAGAACAATCAAAGGGTCTTAGAGAATGACCGAATGAATGGAATGAACGACCCTGCGAGCATCGCACAACAATATCAGCACCGACAATCTGTTAACTGCAATCTTGAGAAATAGCGATCGCTTAATTTAAATTATTTTAACAAATATACAAAATCTAAAAGTAGGTTGCTTATCGGATTACTGAATGAAAGGAACGAACAACCCTCAGTCTGATGAAATAACCATACCTGAGGATTATGTGTCTTCATATTCAGACTTCACAGAATGAGGGAACCGGAGAGCATTGAAAACGAAAGGATGATAAAGTAGTCGAACGAATGACTGCAGACTGGATGTAATTTAAATACCCAAAGTAAATGATTACAAATCTGAGGCAGAATTCATGGGAGTTACAGAAGCATAATGGTTTTAGCTTCAATTTTGATGTCAGAATAAATAATATTTAATTATCAATGTGTAAATATAATTGCTCATTAACGATATTAATGCTCCTCTCTTTAATGAGGAACCACCATGTAACCTAACAATCCAACTTATGAAGTTAAAATAAGAGGATAATTCTCATGAAAAGAATAACCGAATTCTCACTAAAAAAACAAAAATCAAATATTCAAATCTTTCTTCTTTATCATTTTACTTCGACTAATCCTCTATGCCTTATGTGTGTTCCACCGAACAATGTGGGATCCAACATCTTAAAAGGAGAGTTAACTGTGGAGTCTTGTCTTCTCAAGATGTAGAGCACGTCAGTTTGAAGGAGCACATCAAGGAGAGACTTCCACATGATTTTGCCGGTAATTCATACAAGAACAAATCCAGGCGCTTTATGATTGAATGGTCAGGCAAATTGCGGAGTTGGCCCAGATAGTAATTCAGAGAAGGACACAGCCTCTCCCGCAACTCTATACATAAACACCCCCTCGACCAGTTCAAAAAGTGGTCCAAGGACCCGAACCTCCAATTCCAGCACCAGCAATCGAACAAGAAGAAAATTTCCATTATTGGGTAGTACCAAATCTACACAAAGTGGAGGACCACCATCGTGGGCGATAGAAATCTATTGTAGCAGGAAGAATGCGTTCGCTCAACATATTATAGAGGCTAAGACACCAGAAAAGTTCAAGGTTCCCACCTTGGAACCGTATATGATCATATTCCATCTTTTTTGTCAACAATCTGTCTGTTGAGGAAGGTGGAGACCCGGTCCACTTCCTATTACAGCAAATTCATAGAAATCATTTGATAAATTTATTCTAATTTATCTGTTCTTAATTCATTTCCTTATGTATTTTGTTTCCTGCTGTAGCTTGATGATTCTCAATTTTTTACTTAAAGCAGTTGCCTTCTATTGACAGGAAGTATTAAGGAAAGCTTAATTAAATAATTAAGCTTTACCAGATTAATCTCCCACCCCTTCTGTTGCTATAGAGAAAAAGACAATGAATTTGATAGCTTGCCTTAATGGGCTTTATATGGGTCATTAAAGTATGATTCCATGGAATCACGAAATTAAGGGTTACCAAAATAAGCTGGATACTGTGAAGCTTTAAAAGGGGCTCACGATTACAGGGAGGTGTTTTACTCTCCTTGGATTATACTTTGTAGTGAGACTGAAATAAGGGAATCACAAGGAAGCTTTTCTTTAAAGTTGTCTTTCTTCTTCTTGGTGTGCTTCTCGGTTTAGAGAGAGAGAAGGTGAGGAGAGAGAGAGAGAGAGAGAGAGAATTCTTTCTTGTAAGTCGACGTGGTCGACGGTGTAATCCTCAAAGCTAATAAAATCCTCTGCAGCTCTATGGACATAGGCAATTTATCGAACCACGTAAATCTTGTGCCGCCTTTTCTGGTGTAATTTTCTAGATCTATTTTTCGCTTTATTGTCGTCGTTCTTTCACAACATTTGGTATCAGAGCCCTGGTTCAGATCTGAGGAAGAACAATGGCCGGAGATGAAGTGAAGGTTTCATGGATCGAGAAGTTCGGCGACACAAATTTTTGATACTGGAGGATGCAGATAGAGGATTACCTCTATGGGAAGAAACTTCATCTTCCACTACTGGGAAAGCGACCGGAGAAGATGGAAAAGACTGATTGGAATTTCGTTGGATCGACAGGTTCTGGGGGTTATTTGATTAACCCTATCAAGGTCCGTTGCTCACAATGTCATAAAGGAGAGGACGACGGCTGATCTTATGGTAGCCTTATCAGGTCTGTATGAAAAGCCATCGACGAATAATAAGGTGCACTTGATGAAAAGGTTATTCAATCTGAAGATGGCGGAAGGTGTGTTGGTTGTTCAACATTTGAATGATTTCAACACTATTACAAATCAATTATCGCCTGTTGAAATTAATTTTGATGATGAGATACATGCGCTGATATTGTTGGCTTCATTACCAAATAGCTGGGAAGCCATGAGGATGGAAGTTAGCAACTCTGCAAGTAAAACCAAACTGAAATATGATGATATTTGTGACTTGATTCTTGTTGAAGAGGTGCGCAGGAAAGATTCAGACGAGATCTCAGGTTTGAGTTCAACATTGAATGTTGATTCCAGAGGGAGATCACAAGACAAGAAATCAAACAGAGGAAGGTCGAAATCAAAGCATAGAAGCAAGAACAAGTTAAAGCCTGGTCAGCAACCAACCTGCTGGAATTGTGGAAAAACTGGCCACATAAAGAAGAACTGTAAAAATCTTAAGAAGACGAAGAACGTCAGTGCTAATGCTGTAACTGAAGAAGTGCAGGATGCACTATTGCTTGCAGTTCATAACTCTATTGACGACTGGATACTGGACTCGGGGGCTTCTTTTCACACATCTTCTCACCGATAGTTAATGATAAACTATGTTTCAGGTGACTTTGGGAAAGTGTACCTGACTGATGGAGCAGCTTTGAACGTGGTGGGGATGGGAGATGTTGAAATTGCACTCCCTAACAGAAACAAATGGATCCTGCAAAAGGTTAGACACATTCCTGAACTGAAAAAGCACCTCATATCTGTTGGGCAGCTTGATGAGGGAGACCATTCAGTAGTGTTCTCTGATAACACCTGGAAGGTTACTAAAGGAGCACTGGTATTGGCTCAGGGTAAGAAGACTGGTAACCTATATATGACAACTGGTCTAATTAACAATACTGATACCATAGTTGCAAAGAGCACATGAGACATGTGGCATTGCAGACTTGGACACATGAGTCAGAGAGGTATGAAAGAGCTTCAGTCTAGAGGCAAGCTACCAGAACTGAAGTTTATTTATTTCGGCATGTGTGAAAGTTGCATCATGGGGAAGTAGAAGAATGTCAGTTTCTTGAAAGGTGGAAGGGTGTCAAAGGCAGGAAAACTAGAATTGGTACACACCGATGTGTAGGGGCCTTCCCCTGTGGCATCTCTTGGAGGTTCTTGCTATTACGTCACATTCATAGATGACCACAACAGAAATGTATGGGTTTACTTTATGAAGCATAAATCTGATGTATTTTTTGTCTTCAAAACTTGGAAGGCCATTGTTGAAATGGAGACAGATCTAAAACTGAAATGTTTGAGATCTGACAATGGTGGTGAATGGTGGTGTGACAATGGTGGTGAATACATTGATGGTGGGTTCAAGGAGTACTGTGCAGCTTAAGGTATCAAAATTGAGAAGACCATTCCGTGGACACCACAACAAAATGGAGTTGCAAAACACATTGACCATCAATGAGCGTGCTAGGAGCATGAGATTGCACGCAGGACTACCACCAACCTTCTGGGCAG